GCTTAAATAATACAGATAAAGTTATCTTCCAGTTGAATGACTCATGATGTCCTTATTTACAACCAAAACAATTAGCTCACATATTTTAAGTCTGTTGTTGGAGTTTAAGTCTGTTTTGCTAATCTGTCTCACTGAAGGTCTTCTTTGCCTTCATGTTAGTGAACACAAGAGTCTCTTACTGTAGTCATTTGCCTATAAAACATAAGGATCCAAAGTACTTTATTACAGTTCTGGAAGAGCAAAAACAACTCCCTTAGTTTTCCAAGCATCCTGAGAAACCTATAACCAGGAGAGGATAAAATAGATGAATGGTAACTTCTAAGAATCAAATCCCTATGCACATCCAAAACCTTTTCCAACAGGGTAAAAAGGAAAGCCACAGATTGGGAAAGAATATTTGGCAATGACACATCTGATAGGGACTTATATCTAGAATTTATAGAATACTTGAGCAACACAACAAGATAAAAGGTAAACAACTCAATCACAAAATGGGCACAGGATATGAAAAGACACTTCACCAAGGAAGACATTCAGATGGTGAACAACAAACACATGAAGAAAAGTTCAAAATCCCTAGCTCTAAGAGAGATGCTAATCAAAACAGCAATGAGATATTATCTCACCCCAGTAAGAATAGCAAAATTCAACAGAGCAGCAAACAGCAAATGCTGGTGAGGTTGTGGAGAAACTGGAATCCTTATTCACTGTTGGTGTGAGTGTAAAATGGTGTAACCACTGTGGAAAGCAGTATGGCACTTTCTCAAAAAAATTGTAAATAGAAATACCATTTGACCCAGTAATTCCACTATTGGGAATATACCCTAAAGAAACTAGAAATGCCACTCAAGCAGATATATGCACACCATGTTTATTGCTGCTTTGTTCACAATAATGAAGAGCTGGAAACAACACAAGTCCCCAACAACAAACAAATGGATAGAGAAGGTGAGGTATATTCACATAATGGAATAATATGCATCACTGAAAAACAAAGAACTCAAGAAATATTATACAAAATGGGTGACCCCGGAGGACATAATGCTGAGTGAAATATCTCAGTCACAAAAAGACAAATATTGCATAACGCTACTGTTATAAAACAGGACTGACAAAGGAGATTGGGGGAAAACTAAGAAAAGAGGGGATAAATAACGTACATGGCATTGAAACAGACAAGGGAGAGGACTGTATAAAAGGAATATGTGATTAGGTATTATTGGCATGACAAGAGTTCAGAATAAGAGCTGAATAGTAAAGTGGTCTGGTGGGGGTACTATAAAACAATGAAAGAATTAAAAAAAAAAAAGCAAACTGGGTGGGGGCAGGGAGGAAAATGTGTAACAATGAATGAAAAGAAATCCAAGTTCTTTATAAACTTTCATTTAAAAAACCAAACCAAAACAAAACCTGTTTCTTAGTCAAAGTTATACTTGGGTTAGGTATTAATCTATTTAACGTATTATTCTATTACTATAGCTAGGTTCAAAGCTTCAGGATTTTTAGATTGAAAGAAAGTCTATATACAGTTAGTAGTAAATAACTTATGATGCAGATTACACATAACTAAGAAAAATACTGTTTCAAAAGTTAAATACAAATTTAGGAAGGATACAGTTTCTTTCCTGGTAAACAGACAACCTAAGGTACAATGTACACATAACTGAGAAAAAGTTTAAAAAAAATGAATGCTAATTCAGAAAAGATGCAATTCCCCTCCTGGAAAACAGATAATTAAGGTACTTTACATAACTATAGAGAAATTGAAGTAGGAGAATTCTAGAACAAAGCAAATGCTTGCAGTCCAACCAGTTTTGCCGGCTGGAGGTACATGTCAACATTACAACTGTTTGAATGTCTGATTTATCCTAAATTATTAATACCGCTCTTTCACTCATTGGTCCTCTACCACACCAAACGTGATGTCTTCCTCCAGCATGTTGATCCTTTCTGATGACATTTCCCAAGCAAGTGAGTCAGAAAGATAATGTGTTGAAATCCATGCTCTCCATGGCTAATTTCTGGAAGCAGCCTACCGTGCCATTCTTCCTACTGTCAGTTTGAAAGCAACAGTAAAACCTTCCAAGTTTCAAACTTGCTCATATTTGAAATATACTGATAGTATTCTCATAGTAGCATTCAAGCCAGTACAACAGGACAAACTAACAGACATGGGTGGTGGAGCTGCAGTTAGGGGGGGAATGTACAGTGCACCTTAGAAGATGCACTTGTGGTTTCAGCACCCAGGAATGATAACACAAAAGCTTTTGTCACTAAAATTGGGTATGATGCCATTTCTTTGTTTAAGCTGACAATAATGATTTGCTCCTGTTATTTGTTGTTTGTTGTTGTAGTTGTGTGCCATGCACTTAGAACCTTCTCATAGCTGACCCTCCAGTGGGTTTTCAAAGGAAGTAAATCACACAGAAAGAGAATGTCCATTTTTCTTCTGTGCAGAGGTGGATTTCAATCACCGATTAGGAGGCCTTTGGGATTGTAGCAAAGCTTCTGGCCACTAATAATGGCTACTATTGACAAAATTTGTCTCAAATATTTTGGGCATGTTGTCAGCCCTTGGTAAAAAGACAGCATACTTGTAAAAGTAGGAAGTCAACAAAGAAAGAGCGAATGTCAAAGAGATGGATTGATTCAGTGACTGCAACAATGGTTTCAAGCCTGGCCATTGTTGTTAAGTGCCATAGAGTCACAGGCGACTCACAGCAACCCTATGAAGGAAAAGTCCTTGACAGTTGCAGGATTTCCATCCTTTCTCCATGTTTGTAGGCTTTCCCTGAGGCAAGCTATTTATGGAAGTTGATGCCACTCCTGCTTCCAAGCTTGTTTTAGCCGGGGAGTGCCACCAAACACTGTCCACCATGGGTAACCATTATCACATTTGACCATTCAGTGTCACAGTGTTCAGCTTCACAGCAAGTGGACACACCAGGGCTATACGACCTAGAAGAATGTTTCATCAAAAACAATTAAAGACACGCCTTAGGGCTACGGATTAAAGTCACCCATCTGTGTGGCTTGGTCGCATCACTTTCCTTCCAACAGGCCACCTGGTCTCTCTCTGTTAAGTGCCGTCCAGTTGTAGGCGACTCATAGCCGCAGGCCCCAGGGCCCTACAGGATTTTAATCTACCACCTGGAGCAAGTTCCGCAGGATCTGCTCTTACTTCCCCTTAGTTTAAGACTCTGGGCCACCCACCTACTTTTGAAGGGCAAGAAAGAGCAGTAACACACAGCAAAAAGGACCCCAGAAACTTCCCTTGACTTGACTGCCACCAAAGGTGAGCCGCTATGGAGATGCCCATCCCACCAGTCAGCCAGCCGACTTCCAGAGTGGAGGGAGGCTCCAGTAGCTCAAGCCACCTGAAGGATTTTAATCTACCTCAGGCCTGGTGGAGATTGCTAAAATGGCACAGAACAGGGTAAGGCTTTGATCTCCAGTGTATTGGGTCAATCAGTCACTATCAGTCATAGTGGGCCTGACAGCACCTAACAACTATTTACAGAAAACTATTTCTGTGCTCTTCTCCAACACAACTCAAAGGCATCAATTCTTCTCCTTTCATCCTTTTTGGTTTTAAATTTTTTTTATTGGTTTGCTTACAATGTTCTTATATATTATTTTACACTATTTCTCATTCATAATGTGTTTCACAATCATTCTCATTCATACATGTTTTTGAAAAAGTATTTTTATTAGTTTTAATATAATTCCTTTACATTCTATTCCTTTCATATACATTGTATTTTATACATTTTCTTTACATTGTATTCATACATTCATATATATTCTATTTTACATTTTTTAATTTTTTTTGCTTACAAAGTTTATATACATTGCCTTTCATACAATCATTCTCATGCATTATGTTTTATAAAATTAATCACCATTGGACTTTGCCCATCATTACCTTGTCTTTTCACTGGGATCCCTTCTTTTTCCTTTACCTCCTCACTCCAGCCACCAAACTGTGCAACCCTGTGGTTTCGCCCCTACCCATCCCAGCTCTCAGACGCACAGTAAGGGACTGCTGGAGAAAAACCTCTTGGACTGCCAGAAGAACAGACAGGTATCTTGGATAAAATTCAGCCAGAGCACTCCTTAGAGGTAAGAACCATGAAGCTTCATACTCCACTCAATGGCACCAAACAACAACTTCTGTGCTAGCTTAACGTCTACGGAAAGGAGGATCCATACCCAGAGAGGTCTACTAACTGGCCCCAAGGCACAAACTAGCCCATGGACAGTTGTAGAAATCCTACAATTTCAACTCTAGGTTTTGTTTTGCTTTTTAAATGTGAAATTGTAAAACAGCTTGCTCTTTATCCCTATCAGTTAACTTGCTTTTCATGCTAGTATTCATCCACATTCGATATTTCTGAAGTGCTCCAATCGTCAGCCTACACCTCAGACCAAAAGAGAATCTGAAATAAGTCCAGATGAAACATAGCTTGTTAACTACTCAGTCACCTGTTAGCAGGTGGAAAGGCAGCATTTTTCTTGAGGCAGTTATCTGAAGAATATGTTTGCGGCAGTCATCTGGAGAATACGGGCCGCCGTATTTCCCTCTTCCCCACCCCCTTCTCCAAGGTTCTCGTCCCTTGGGTGCATCGGCGCGTGCACGCGCATAGGCTTGCCTGTTCCTGCTCTGAAGCACCCCGAATGTCTCCTCCTTCTTGTTCTTTTCCTTCTCTGCACCGGCCAGGGTCGTAGCCCAGCCCCTCTCCCCCTTCTTCAGGCCGTCTCCTGCTCCTGGCCAGGCCAAGCCCAGCACGGTCCCTAACCTCTGATCTCATGTTGCACAATGCCCGAGCCTCTCCTCCCGGGGTGTGAACCCCGCCGTCCCTGCCCCTGGGCGGGGACAGGCAGCGGCCGTGCGGGGAGCAGAGGCAGGCAGCGCTCAGCCGGCTCGGTTCCCCGGTCGCAGCACCTCAAGTCTTGCGGGAGCTGCTGCCCCAGGCCCCGCGCCGCTCGGCCCCTCCGCCAGGCCCGCCCGCCGCTCCTCACAGGCCGCCGCCGCAGCCATGGCGGAAGTTCATAGACGTCAGCATGCTCGGGTTAAAGGAGAAGCCCCCGCGAAAGGCTCCACACACAGAGATGAGAAGGAGCTGGGGATGGCGCCGGCCGAAACGCTGACGGTGTTCCTGAAGCTTTTGGCCGCGGGCTTTTACGGCGTGAGCTCCTTCCTCATCGTGGTGGTGAACAAGAGCGTGCTCACTAATTACAGGTAGGGCGGCGGCGGCCGAGGCCGCGGAGGCGGCGCGGGAGGCGGATGCGCGGGCGCCGGCCCGGTGGACTTTGGCTGCCAAAGTTAAAGATGAACAAAGTTGGGCTGGAGCGGGGGGAGGGCGGGCGGCGGACGCGCGCGGACCGGAGCGGAGCGGGGTCGGGGCAGCTGGGGCGGCGGAGCCGGGTTCGCTCCTCGAGCAGCGGCTGCAGCTGGGGCTGAGGTCCGGCTCCTCGAGCGCCTTCGGGGACGCGTTCGTGCAGAGCTCGCTCTGTTTCTTTTTTTTGCAGCGCCCTTAACACTCTTGCCATTCGGAGTGCTGGAATAAAGTTGCTCAGTGACTTTCCTAGCCCCTGTGCATGCAAGGCAGGGAAGAGGATGAGGATTGCTTTCCATTTTCCCAGATGAGATTTGGGTTTCAGTGGTTCCCCTGGTTCGCTGTCAACCTTGAGGATGTGCACTTCCATTTACAGTTACTCGGTTGTTGTCACTGAGACCCAGAGACAGAACTATTTGTGTTTGAAAGGTGTGAAACCATTGACAAGATCTAGGTTTCACCTTCTTTGAAGACTTGCTGGCAATCTTTTGAAACTGTTAAAACCAGACAAGATGAGACTAGTGGCTGCCCAGGGCTACAAAATCAGCGGGGTTGCCTGCCAAGGGGCAGGGATTTTTTTCTCTCCCCAGATCTTTGGGCTAAGCAGCAAGCAGTATTGTGGATGCTATGAAAACATAAGGCTGCTGATTTGAAAAGGCTGCACAGGACTGCTTTTGGGTTTTGCTGACTCTTTTCTTCATTTCTTTCTTGTTTTTGTAGATTTCCCTCCTCACTATGTGTTGGACTTGGCCAGGTTAGTTGGGAGTCTTCAGCATTACGTGGTTTATGTTGTTGGGGCTTGTATGTGTGTGCCTTTATATGTGGAACAGTGAATCTGTGTTCTCTGTTTACAGATGGTGGCCACAGTGGCTGTTCTCTCGGTGGGAAAGGCGCTCAGAGTAGTCAAGTTTCCGGACTTTGACAGAAATGTACCTCGAAAGGTAAAAAAAAAAAAAAGTATGGGAGACACTATGAAAAACAAACCACCACTATTTCCATCCATTCCTTGCATCCTTAAAAATTACAGTCTTGACTAAAAAAATAAAACCCATGAAGGGATTGAGAATGGGCACTTTAGAAAGAATAAAAATGAATTTAAAAGCTGGCAATACGTTTTTCCCCAAGTCCCACTCTCTTTAAAATGAAGAGAAAAATAAACTAGGAATCTCAGGTTTTGTTTCCAGTTAATGTATGCTTGTTGAAAGTACAACAGTTTATAGTTTATGGGCCTCTTAATCTAGCCACGTGTCAAGGCAGGGTCCGTCTTTGGAGGGGGATGTCATGCTTGGGAGGGTGGAGGGACAGTGCAAGAGAGGAAGACCCTTGATGAGATGGATTGATTCAGTCACTGGGGTAATGAGGATAATAAGTGTGTCAGAAACAATAAGATCAGCAAGGGATAGAGCAGGGTTTAGGGTTGTTGTACATAGGGTCGCTAGGAGTCGCAGGTGACTCAGTGGCACATAACAACAACTATCTAGCCATTGGATCCTGCCTGCATTCATTGTTATTCTTTGGGTTTATTTCCATATTCTTCTGCCTGCCTCTGCTTGATTCTACATGAAGATGAAATGCCTCTGTTTTTCAGCTGACATTAGAAACATAGGCTAAAGAGTATATGTAAAGCAAATCTTGTTTCTGTCCACAGGATTTGTTCTTGTTCTTATTTCTGTTTATTCATTCTTGATTTCCTTACTCCCTGTCTTTCTCTTGTAGTAACGTTGTTTGCCTAAGAGGAGTTGATACTGTTTCAACAGTTGATGAGAGCCAAGATTGTGTATAGGAACTAATTGTTGTATTAAAGGGGAAAAAATATGATCATATAGACATAACTGTTTGCTTGAAAGGACCTTGTTTTAGCTGCATTTGTTATTGAGTTTTATTATCCTTTTTATCCCTTTTTAAATTTTCTAGACGTTTCCACTACCTCTACTATATTTTGGGAACCAAATCACGGGACTGTTCAGCACGAAGAAACTGAAGTATGGATAACTTTATTTTATTAGTGAGGTTGATATAATGTGTTCTTTAACTTGTATTTGAATGTCAGATATTTAGCATATTGTTAATTCTGAACAAAATAAAAGGGAACTGCTATTATTAAATAATGAAGATTGTTTGTAAGACTTTGGATTAAACTCTTTTGTTTACGAAGAAAATGATAAGTTCGGTTTTAGGGGATTTTCCCCCCTCACTCTACTGATAGAAGAAAATCCTAGCTTGGGTGGACTCAGAATTCTATAAAATAATATAATAAGAGCTTTCCCTTGTTTTTCTAGACCTGCTGTAATGAAGTATATATGCTAGGCTTCTAGAATTAAATTTATTTTAGTAAAATTAATAAATACTGTATTTTAAGTAAATTCCACACAAGAAAATCAGAGGGTAGGCGGGAGAGCCTTTGCAATTTTTCTTTTAACATGAATTAGTTTAAATAAGATCCTTGGTGGCATAGTAAATGAAAACATGGAAAGTTCAAATCCTTCTCTGCAGTATTTTCTAGCTAAAATTTACAACCTGGGAAATCCAATGGAGGGGTTACCATGAGTTGGAGTTGGGATCAACTTAATGGCTGTAGATTTGGTGCTTTTGTTTTGTTAAAATCAGCTTCAACGTGAATTATACATGTAAGATTAGTATCTTTCAACTTGGTATTATAACTGCGGTTGTTATTGGCGATATTTGAATCAGTTCTAACTCATTGCCACCTCTTGTGTGCAGAGTACAGTATTCCATCTTGTGACCTTTTAAGAGGACTGCTTGGCCCGTCCAAGATGCTTGCTGGGCACGGGATTTGAATTGCCAACCTTTCAGCTAGTAGTGGAGCGCTCACGTTGTACCACCCAGAGATTCTAGAGTACCATGTTGTTGTTGGGTGCTGTGGAGTTGATTTCACTCATTGTCCATTCTGGAGGGCTCAAGTCATCAACCTTTCAGTGAGCAGCTTTTGCATTATCTATTACACCCCTTTCCCCCCAATCAAACCCTTTACAGTGGTGTTTGTTCCAACTCAGGTGATCCTTTAGGACACAGGAAACGTGCCCCATAGAATTTCTAAGACTGATCTTTATAGAAGTAGGCTACCACATCTTTCGCATATGGATTTGAGCCACCAACCTTTTGTTTAACAGCTGAAGGTTTAACTACTGTACTACTAAGGCACCTGTTATTACCCTCACACCAAAAAACTTCCAAAATTATTGACATACAGTCTGTTCTGACATATACCCTGTAAGACAGAACAGAATTGCCCTTCTAGTGATTCTAAGGCTATAAATCTGTGAAAGCAGACTATGACATCTGTAACCTATGGAGCTGGTTGTGGTTTCAAACCACAAATCACTTGGTTAGCTTCGAAACTTTAACCACTGGACCACCAGGATTCCTGTTAATTTCTTACAATGTCCCAGTTTCTTTACTTAGGAGTATAGTATATATAGATGGTTGTAAAATTCACAGAGGAACCGTTTGAAACAAACTCTTGGCTCTTCACTGGCACAAGAGCTAATGAGTGCCCTAGCACACTGGATGCTTGTAAAACAGCATGGAGAGATTTCCTAGAGCTATTTCTTCTTTTTTAGGCCAAATAAAGTGACATTGACAAAGATGCTACCTCTGGGGTAGAGTTTTAAGGTCAAAGTTATCTTGGACATAGAGTATCCTCTTCCTTCTCATTAGACTTTTAGAATGAAATGCAGGCTCCTGCAGAGTGCAGTTTGTGTGCAGAATGTAGATCGTAGTCTTTTCCATTCGCTGTTCCATCCCTACTTGCATTCACTCACTGAAACACTATCTTAGATTGCCAGCTATTCGTCAAGCACTTGGAAGTGTACAAAGATCTTATTATTTTCTAGGACAGAGAACGTATATTCAGAAATGACTGTGTTGTAAGAGTCTGTAGTTTTGATTAGCACAAGAAAAACATACGGAATTTAGAAGACAAAATTGCATCTGTAAAAGAAAAACCAAGGGATGTTTCGTGGGGTAATATTTTCATAGTTGTTTGGGGTTTTGGAGGAGACAGTCCAGTGGAGACAGAAAGAGAACTACTTCTGTTATAGACTTAACACGCTCACAGTGTCTGGTATGTGTAGTTAGCTGAATAAAATTTTTAAAATGTAGGTATGATTGGTCAGTCCTATTAGCTGTTTGGTCTCAGTCATTTTATAGTTAGTTTAATGTTTCTCACTTGTAGATTTAGAAAAACAATGTTTTTAGGCCTTCAAGTAGGAATTATTTCTAGGCAGAGATATGAATTTAATCAGCATGGAGTTTACATTATAGAAGTAAAGCATTATTTTAAAATGCTGTTTGATGGAACTGCTTTTTAAAAAATAAACTTTATTTTATCTGATTCTGTTTGTTTTGCAGCTTGCCAATGTTTACCGTTTTAAGAAGGTTCTCTATCTTGTTTACAATGTTTGCTGAAGGAGTTTTACTCAAGTGAGTTAAATTTCTAATATATATCTAGTCTTTAAATGACTTTAATAATTTAAAAAAATATGCTTAGTATGTATTGAATACTAAAAGTATTTGTCTTATTTTTAACTTGAGGTTTTGAGATCTTTAAACACTTTTCTCATTTATTATAGGAGTTGATATGTGGGGACAATAATTGGGAAGACCATGAGCTCGAGTTTAGAAGTCTGTCTGAATATTGATTTATTTTCTATACTGTTTGTATCTGTTGCTAACTTTTGATGAAGCCAGTGGGAATCATAGGAACAGATTTCAAATTACCTCTTGGCTACTTTCACGATAAATGTGTGTTGTCATCTTTTCCAGCATAAAAAAAAAAATGAACTTTTGCTTCATCGAGGGGTGCTGTAGCTACCTATTTTCTTGGAAACATTTAAAATATGATTGCTTACACTTTTTTCTGGGATTATAAAATATAGCTTACACCTTTTCTCATATTGACTATGTAGTTCATAGCAAACTATGGCTAACATTGAGAAGAATGAGAATCCTAGAACACTTAATTATGTTTATACAAATCTATACCTAGAACAAGAAGCTGTTGTCCTAACAGAGTCAGGGAACACTGCATGGTTTTCAAATCAGGAAAGATGTGCATCATGGCTCTATTTTTTTCTCCATACCTATTCAATCTGTATGCTGAGTAAATCATTTGAGAAGCTGGACTTTATGAAGAAGAGTTCACATCAAAATTGGAGGAAGACTCATTAACAACCTGTTTTACACAGATGATACAACGTTGCTTACTAAAAACAAGGACTTGAGATGCTTACTGCAAAGGATCAAGTTCTTCATATGGATTACACCTTAACATCAAGAAAGTTAGGGTAATAGTGCACATAGTTTAATGTTGATTCATTTTATAAGATATAATGAATAGGAATGTTTGTATGAAACACAATGTGAATGAAGGATAATGTGAAATAATGTATATGAACTTTGTAAGTAAACTAATATAAAATGAAACTTTTTTTTTTTTTAAAAAAAAAAAAGATGAAAGATTTTAACCACTGGGTGATTGGGCAGCATCATGATAGATAAAGAGAAGATTGAAAAGTCAGTGATTTCTTCTTTCTTGGATTCACAATCAGTATCCTTGGTACCAGCAGTTAGAAGATCTATAGCATTGAGATAGTCTGATGTCAGAGACTTCTGCAAACACCTGGAGAACAATGATGTCAGTCTAAAGATGAAAGCGTGCCTGAAAGCCATGGTCTTTCCTATCACCTGCTATGATAGGAGAAGAATCAATGCTTTTGTGTTGTGGTATTGGAGAAGTGTGCTGAATATACTATGGACTGCCAAAAGAAAAAGTAGATATATCTTGGAAAAAATAAGACCTTTGGGCATATTGCTAGGAGAGGCTATTCCTTGGAATGGGACATTATGCTTGGAAGAGTGGAGGGTCAGCAAAAGAGAAGAAGACCCTTGACAGGATGGACTACAGCACTGGGTTCAAATGTGTCAGAGATGATGAGGATAACACAGGATAGGACAGGGTTCAGATATATTGTTGTAAAAAGAGCAAGAGCCACATGGGACACAGATGTCCATGTCTGACCTTTATCAACTTAACATAGGGGAACTGTCCCCGTGCTCAACATCAGTTAACAGAAAACCAGTTCCCATGAGGTCAGATATGTCTCCCACACTCTTCTACCACTTTTCTACTCATCCCAGCACCAATCTTACCACTTTGCTGGGTCCCAAATATTATGTGATAGCTCACAAACCACACAGAACCATATTGTGTAAGTCAGAATACTATAATCCAGATTAATAGCAGAATACAGTCGGGAGAGCTCCCAAAATGAACATGCCAGCACCTCAGCCTTTGAGCCTCACGGTTCTTTTTTTTTTTTTTTCTATAATTATATTTTATTAATTTTCATAAACATTTACAGAGATTTTGGGCTTCCACTCATTCATTGTTGCACTATTCTCTCTACCCTCCTCCCAGTTTGTTCTTGTCCAAATGCCGCAGTGCTTGTCAAAGCCAGTTCTGATTAATCTTCTTTGTCAGTGTGTCCTTTGCCATTCCCTATCATTCCTCCCTGAGAGAGACTTCACCCTGAGTCATAAGGAAAAGGGGATGGCGTATTCTCTTAGCTACTTCCTGCTGAAAAGGGACGCTGTGGGTTTCAGGGTGAAGATCTTCTCTCACTACTCTAAAGGGCCCCTTTGGCAGTAGGAAACACATAGACTATTATGGAGATTGATTTTGGAATTTAGATGCACTCTTGTTGATTGTGCTTGGCTGTACATGTTCATATCCTTGAAGATGTATCATGGGGGTGTTGCAACCTAGAAGACACAAATTTGACTAACAAGTTATAAGTACATGAGTCCAAAAATTATGGAAAAGTAAAAGAAAAGATTCTTTCATTGTTTTACAAACCCTCCCCCAGGTCCCCTCCACCATGTAGCCCTCGCTCTAGTCTCCTGTGATGACAGAAATACCCAGTTATATCTCTCTTTTAAACGGTTCTCTCCCTCCTCTGTTTCAGTGCAGTATACATTATTGAACCCATCTTACTCAGTCTCTCCCCAACCCCAAGGACAGTCCCATTCTACAACAGTGGCATCATGTAATATTTGTCCTTTTGTGACTGGGATATTTCACTCAGCATAATGTTCTCCAGAGTCAACCATTTTGAATAATATTGCATGAGTTCCTTGTTTTTTAATGCAGCATAGTATTCCATTGTGCGAATATACCACAGCTTCTCTAGCCATTCGTTTGTTGATGGGCACTTAGGTTGTTTCCAACTCCTTGCTATTGTGAACAAAGCTGCAATAAACATGGGTGTGCATATATCTGCTTGGATGTGAGCCTCACGGTTCTAAGTGTTCCCAAATTTTCAGTCCTGTCAATATTGGTCTACCATCTCAGTCTTGCAAATATTGGCTGTCCCCACCCCGCCCCCCACACCCCAGTTGTCGCAACAAAGTTGTCAGTCCTGCCAGTATTGGCTCTTTACCTAATTATCCAACAAAGCTCTCAGTCCTGCAACTGTTGGCTCCACCCTCTTCCCCAGTCTCATCTCATCTCATGTCTTTAATTTGAACGTGGCTGCTATTCCTGTTTCTAAGCAAGTCTCTTTCCTCTTCTGGTAAGGGAAGATCTGTCCCTGCAGCTAGAGCTGTTCAGTTTATTGGTGAGCCTATCCACGCCCCTTATTGTTGAGACTGTCCAGTCCCCTTGTGGATAGGCCAACATGCCCCATTCGCATAGTCCTGCACATCCGCATGGTCTGTCAACCACATTCAAATAATGCTAGAAAAGCCATATTGAAAGACCGATTCCACACTTGTTCATAGAACCGTTACAAGTTGTATTCAACTCCACAGCACTTAACAATAATAACAATACCATTCTAAGAAAACATTTTATATATACGTATATATTATAAGCTCCCTTTGTGTGTGTGTGTGTGTGTGTGTGTGTGTGTGTGTGTGTATGTGTATGTAAGGGAGCTCTGGTGGCTTAGTGGTAAGGAAGTCCACTGACAGCACAAAGGTATGTGGTTTGGATCCACCAGATGCTCCATGGGAGAAACATGAGCAGTCTCCTCCTTTGTAAGGGTCAGCTATGGGTCAGTTCTAACTCAACTATACACAATAACATGTCTATGTATGCATGTATGTATTTTTTTAAAAAAATTTATGTGACTTAGAAATTCTGTTGTTAATCACTTTTATACTATTGCCTGCGTTGTAGAATATATGTCTGAGTAATTTTTGAGTGCGTGTGTTTTCTTTATTGTGATTTGAGTAAAAGCTTACAAAGCAAATTTGTTTTCCATTTTACCATTCATATACATCATGTTTTATTACTTTAATTATAGTACCTGCAATGTACTTCTTTATTCCTGTCTGTGATTTTATTTTGTAGGAAGACTTTTTCTTGGGGCATCAAAATGACTGTATTTGCAATGATCATTGGCGCCTTTGTAGCTGCCAGGTAAGATCTTGACATTTATGAAATCATGATCTCATGTTAGAAATAATAATTTTTTTATTATAAATTATCAGTTATCAGAAAAACTTATTATCTATAGGCTAAGTAAAACTCATATCCTTGAAGTGTCTATAGATTCTTTGAAGAGTTATATATTGTTGGCTATATCAAGATAAGGCTGGAAAAATTAAGATTTTGGGGGTTCTCAAAACTAAATTAACAAAACTGAGGATTTGTTAGTATCTTCTACTTAGACTTTACCATATAATATGTCACATTATGTGTGACATTTTACTCATTTATCTTTTTTACACTTCTGAGAGGGGATTTTACCATTTTATAGATGATGAAACTAAATTTTAAGTTGCGTTGCTAGACAAAGGTCACACTCCTGATATCTAGCAGAACGAGAATTTGAATCTGCTCCTCATTCCGGAGCTTAGGTGGTTTAGAAATCATGCATTCTTTTTATGCTACTGAAGGAAATAATGGCTACTTTTCTGTGAGGTGAGGCAAATGACACTAAATAATTTTGCCTTGTGGGATATGAAATGGTGGTACTACTTTATTTGGCTTCATTGAAACTGAGATATATCACAAGTGCTAAAACTTTATTTTGTGAAATTATTAAATATTAAATCACTAGCAGTTTTTCCATTTTTCCTCACATTTTCATGTCAAAATGCATAGCAAAATGAACACCCCAATCCTCAGAAGACTAAAATGACTACTAAAAACCTTCTATCTACAACATATTGGTCAGCGCTGAGCATGCATATGCAAATTCTGCTTACACATTTATTTTCCACATGGGAATTTCAGCGTGTTGCTCAGATTGAATCATTTACCTTCATTGTAACTGTGGTACGCGAAAGGAAATAACATTAGTCATTCTTTTCAACCCTAAATCTCGAAGTGAAATTTTATCATTTTAACAAGATGATATCTTTGGGTATTAGAATTTACCTGCATGATTGAGTCCTTTTTTTCTGTAGATTGTTTTGCCTCTTTGGGGAGAAATTTTACAATAGTCTCATAACCTTATAGGAGGGTACCCTCCTTAGTCTTGGAAATGTCCTTGAAACTGATGAGATTTAGAATAATCTGGCCTGTAAAGTTTTTCTGAGGAGGAGAACCATCTGGACCAGCTTTGTCTAATTAGAACCTTTTACTTGAGAATGAGATTGGGAGGAATCTGAAGTTCATGGGTTGCCAGGTGATGGTTGCTTGGGGAGAGAGGTCTGTAGTAGGCTCCATTTCTTGCCTTTAATTATCAGTTTTAGCAACTCTGAAGACCACGGTGAGCTTTGGTCTCTTAGGGGTTAGGAATTGTGTTGCTAATTCAAAGGTGTGTGGTTCAAATCCACCAATTATTCCATGGGAGAAAGGTGAGCCGTCTCCTCTTGTGCAACTTACTGTCTTGGAAACCTCCTGGAGAATCAGCTGTGGGTTGGTTCCAACTCACTGATACCCTACAATGATAACAAGACAGTAGAATTGTCCTGCAGGATTTCCAAGGCTTTTGCATCTTTCTCCCATTGAGCATCTGATAGGTTTAAATTACTGGCCTTCAGGTAGCAGCCACAGATTTAACCATTGTGCCACTAGGATTTCTTATGTGTTAGGTGGGTTCTGTGTAAAGCTGCAAGGGCATAGAGATCCTCAGAATTCTAGGTCCTGTGTAGTTTAGTTACAAGTATATAGTATCTTTTAAGAATCATAGGCTATGAAGCAACTATTTTTGCTCCAGTGCTGAAGTATGATGAAGTCACATCTTTTTGTTTTTTCTTTTAAGATTCTCATTTATTCTATTTACTGAGCTCTTGTCTTCTGCCTGGTACTCCATTAACTATCAGAAATTTTCTATTTTCCCTACTTCCACTAGTTACATCTTAAAAGTTTTTTGAGCAGTTATGTAAAGATTTATGCTCCTACTATGTACTTAAACATTGTACTAGGTTGATGTCAGTAGTTTCTATCCAGCCACTTTTGAAAAATAGTGAAGTGCTTTATGTGAATCTTTAGAAGATGACACGTTGAAAACTTTATCTTTGTGATTTCCTTGTTTGTGAAATTGAAATTTGATGCCTTCTGCCTGCTCCAACACAGATGTACAATAATTAGCTATTTATGTGCTTATTGTTTAAGTATGAATTCAGAGAAGTGTGATATTAAGTGAAGTTACTGATTAGTGTTAATGATGTGCTAAAGTTTTAATTTATGAATTTATTTTTATTAATGAAGACTTCATTATTGAGTATGAAATTGTTAACTGTAACCAAGAATCAAGAAATACTAGTCATGAATAAAATGCCTGCATCCACTTCTATTGACATTATAGTTTGTTTGGACAGGCTTAAAATTTCAACACGTGCTCTTTAAATGTGTTGTTAAAATTTTGTTCATGTTTTGCAGCTCCGACTTGGCATTTGATCTGGAAGGATATGTCTTTATCCTGATAAATGATGTCTTGACAGCAGCAAATGGTGCATACGTAAAACAAAAATTAGATTCAAAAGTAGGTAGCAAGTTAAAGATGTTTTTAACTGATGCTTACTGATATAGATAATAATGTTGGTTCATCAAGGAAAAAGCTGGGAATTAAAAAAAATGTACAGGAGGAATGGGAAAGAGGTAGGATTCCCTCTAAGGGTAAAAACACCTGTAGTTTTATGCTCACATAAATGAATTTTATTAATTAATTGGTAATTAAACTTGATTAAGTGACTTTTCTGGAAGGGATTGGGTAAATTTTGTAAGAACTATCAGAGGTCTTCATTACATGTCATAAATATTTATGACAAAGTTACACAAGATTTAGTGGAGTACCTGAGATGAGGAAGAGAAGTGTCTAGAAGCTTCTAGGCAAACTTCAGGGGAAATGAATGTGTCATGAGCTGCAGAACAAGGATGGCCTTTGAGAATCTGTGCTGCCAATAGTGGGAGATGTTAAGGAGCTTCAGGATCTCTCTGTGAGGGGCAACACTGGTTCCCTGGCCGAGATCTTATTACATCAGCTTTTTTTTAATAAAATTATTAAATTTTATTAATTTTAATGAACATTTACAGAGATTTTCGGTTTTCATTCATTCATTGTTGCACTATTTTCTCTACCTTCCTCCCCAGTTCGTTCTTCTTCCCCCCCCCAATGTCTGTTTTAATTGTCCATTTGCCACAGTGCTTGTCAAAGCCAGTTCTCTGATTAATCTCCTTTGTCAGTGTGTCCTTTGCCATTCCCTATCACTCCTCCCTGAGAGAGACTTCACCCTGATTCATAAGGAAAAGGGGATGGTGTATTCTCTTAGCTACTTCCTGCTGAAAAGGGATGCTGTGGGTTTCAGGGTACATCAGCCTTATATACCTAGCTCTTTGCCTTCCATTGGCAGCATGTTCACATAGGCTTTACAAGGTTCCTTTTTTTATGTGTTTACTTTATGCTTTGAGTACTGTGGGTTGTGATGTGTGCTCTCCAGTTGAAATTTGACTTATGGATCAAACCAGACCATCAGAAAATTGACTGATTGTGCCACACTACTTTTATTGCCTTTTATCATGAGATTGCTGTAAGAAACAACCATATGAAGCTCAGTTTTATACATCCGTAGAGTTATTATTGAAGAATTTGACTCTTAAATTACATTATGTGCCGAATGAGGACCCACAGGAGATACTGATCTTAGATGTCACCATAGTTCCCCTCCCCCACAAGTAGTTGGTATCTTTTTATCTTATCATTAAGACTTGCAAGGAACAGATCTTGGTTTTATCTTCCTTACCTGCCAGTATCTTTTCAGTTGGATGACCTAATCTACTTGGGATTTTTAAGTTGCATTTTTTTTTTGTTCAATTTATGTACAGTATGTTTTAATTTGCAAGTCACTTTTTGGAGTTTAAACTTACAAATAAATATAAATGCCTGGCCTACTCTGTAGCAGTATTAGTTACTGTCTAATTGATAAAGTTGTTGTGGAGGACCACCTTGGTTAGGGGCTTTCCCTCTTCTACAGAAAAGTAGCATTGATTTCATGACCCTCCTAATACTTTTTAATCTTTTTAGAGAATGGCCTTTTTTAATAGTTTTTAAGAACTAGGGGCAATGTGGATCTCTTTCTAACAAACTGTTGTTTGTTTTTCTGTTTATTTACTTTGATGGTTCTAGAAGGTGATTACATTTTAATTAAAATATTTCCTTCTCACTTGTGTCTTCAGTGAGAAATAACTTAAGACTTACTTTGTAATGGATAGAATTGAGCTTCTTTTCCTAGTCCATGCTTTAGAAACAGCAGACTTCTGGGTGTTGGCCTGTTGTTGTTGTTTTTTAAATCTTCTAGATAGAAATCTATTTCTGTCTAGATGCAGAAAGGCTTTACAGCAGTAAAAAACAGCCAGCCAACAACAAGAGAAACAGGAAAGCTATAAAAGGGAGATGGAAGTTCTTACAAATTATGCAGAGGCTATTAAATAGCAGTCAGGGTGGCAGCACTGTGCAGTAATGCATCGTGGTGATGCTCCTAAATCAAATTATACTTTGACTATTTTTGCTTAAGAATGCAAGGAGAAAGAGATACAAAAGTAAAAAAAAAACATAAAGAGAAAAGAAAAGCCTTTGGCATTTAAACCTTTAAGGGTTAATCAGATATCTGGACGTTTTGTGCGTGTGTATGCATGCATTCTCCACTTCCTGCATGACTTGCACTAACCCTCACACATCTGGCTGAAACGTATCTGTTGTTAGAGGTTCTTTTATGTAGTTTGGCTCTTCCTGGCTCAAATATATTACTGTCTTAGAAATGAAGCATACTTTTCACTGATGCTTGTAGCAACTGTAAGCAGTCTGCTGTTAGGTTTATTTTGAAGGCATTATTTCTTTACTGAGATATTTTTATTATTTAGAGTTTTATTACCTATCATTTCCCAAGTCTTTTTAATCTTGATCCTTTGAGTGTGAGTCATGTGGTATAAAAACATGGTGATTATATTTCAAACTTGATGCACCTGTTGAATTTAACTCGCCCATTTTAGCACATGTATTAAAGGTCTTTATTCTAAAAAAACAAAAAAAAAAATCCCCAACCAACCCACAATTAATACAAGTTTATGAAAGAGATAAAAATCATAAGAAATATTAAGAAAATATGAGTCTCCCTTTATCTCACTAGCACGTGAGAAGTACTGTTTTAGGTTTTATGCTTTTTTCTATATATATGTGCCTCTGTGCATATTCACACACTGCCCTGTAGAGCTTCCAAGACTGTAAATCTTTACAGGAGTAGACTACTTTTCTACATACTATGTAAAACTTTTATAAAAAGAGAAATTATGTACAACCACTCCTCGCTTATTAACATGGCTAAAGTTCCCAAACCATGTTAATATGTAAAAATCAGCTTTATGAAACAATAGAGGATGACTACATCATTATCTTATTGCCAATTAGAATATAATTTCTATAAAGTACATCACTGCATACTTGCTCCACCAGTGAGAATGGTGGCCCAGCCTTACTCGTAGTGTTTCTCTAGTCTCCCCCTTCAGTATTAATGACTGCCACATGTACTTTGTTAATACAAAGTAGTCAGTAAATTTTTACTAATGTCATGAATGAAATGTTGGATAATGAGATAGTAGGTAGGGTTTTTAAAAATAATGGTTTTCCCCCTAATTCTATTTTGTGAGCACCTTTCTGTGTCTGCCATCATTAAATATTTTTATTGGTTGTGTAATATTTCCTTGTGCAGCTGCTCATATTTTAAACAGCAATATCTTCTATTGTTGAGTGTTTGCTTTTAGCTTTTATAACTGCTTTTGAGATGGTATTTTGACTTTGTACATTTAATTAGTTTTCAAATCCCAAAAGTTAGATAGATAATACACCATATCCTCATCACCGTACATCTCACCCCCAACCTTGCCTATTTGTCAGTTAGTTCTGCTTTATGCAGGCTGTCCTTTGAAGTGTGTGAATCAGAGTTCCCATAGATTCTTTGTGTCTGAAGATGTTCTTGTCTTTTTGTTCCCCAGTACCTGGGGCATAACTGATCATGTTTTGAGAACTTAGCTATAGTAATCTTGATCTCTGTTGTATCTCACACATACATTTTCAGCAGTGTTTCATAGGGAAGTTATGTCTGTCTGTCTGTGTTGGTCCAGGTCTGAGTCTGTATGTGTACATCTATCTATCTACCTTTCTTCAATAGCATTCTTTTATGGTTTTAAAAAGCCAAGACTAACCTGATGTCTCCTGAGTCAGTTCTGGAAGGGAATGGCTTCAAGAATGTGGCCTTATAACTATATTTGTATGTATTTAAAAGAATCACTTACCTAGTATAGACTGTTTTGAGGCAGCCAGTTGATGTAATTTTTATGCACTAGAGTTGATGTCAGTTAGATTATCTTAATGTTTAAAATCTTTGGACTTGCATAATTTTATTGCATGCTCTTGGAAAGAGAGAAAAAGAGGAAGAAAGCAAGCAGTGAGTGCATATGTGTATGTGTAATTGGGGTAACATGGGGTTGTGTATATCTCTCCAAGAGAGCCAACTAAACAACTAGTTCTTCTTGCCCTAGGAGCTGGGAAAATATGGCCTGCTCTATTATAATGCACTGTTCATGATTCTGCCCACTTTGGCCATTGCATATTTCACAGGAGATGCGCAAAAGGTAAGACTTCTAATTGTGGTTTAAGGGCTTTTGCTCATGACCATAAGGTAGGTAGAATTAAGTGACAAAAGCCAGAACTTATATTTTAGCTTGCTTATGTCACACTAACCTTTTTCTTGGTTTAAGTATTGGATAGTACCAGAAAGGCTCAAAATAGCCCTGACTGTCAATATAAAAATAGGACATGTTAAATGATGGCCTTTTCTTTCATGCCAGAAGGACAGAGGAGGGAAATTTTTACTTTTCTCTTAAACTGTAAAATAGGTGTAGTTTAAAAATCTTCTCCTTGAAAAATAGAAAAATCCTGAATAAGAATATTCTCTATACTTTAAAAATGGTGTGCTTCATGAAAACCTTGTATTTTGAAGTAGTTTATTAAGCTCTTTTACCCCCGCTGGAGGTATTTAGCCCTTTGTGGTTACTTAACCATAAAAATAGCAGTCAGTGTAATAGCTTACCCACTTTCTGCCATGTTAAGCTAAAGATCTCAGAACAGAGCAGTAGTGAAATTAAATCAGAGAAGAATTTTCCTCCAAAACAAACTCACATTCATAGAGGGAAAAGTGATACCATATTGTTAAAATCCACATAATTTTGCAACCTAATAGGAATCCAGACTCTGCCAAGAATTTTTTTGTGCCAAGATTCCTCCTACTGAATCCCCTGGCCAGTAGCTACTTTAGAATAAATGTGTTGGTTATTCATTCGAATGACAGTGACAGTTTCTACAAATCGGTAGGGGCCAAAATAAAGAAGCTTTTTGAGAGCATTATACTGCTGAAAATTATTCTTGAAACCAAAGACAGAAGGAGAAAGCTGCTTGTAAAACTGTTATTTTTTTTCCCCACCCATTAAGAACTCTCTTTTGAAGAACTGGCATCGATTGTCTTCAATATATGTGTAAATGCTTTAATGATCTATGACCATCTTCTAGCAGTCCTAAAGTGGCCCTAGAGTAGAAGACAAGTATTTTTCTGACTAATAAGGAGTATAGACTGAGGATTTTGGCGGCTGTGAATGTGTAGGAGGCAAGCTAATTTGTTACTAAGTAGTCAAAATGATTGAGCCACCTGACTGCTAATGAACAGGTTAGTGATTTAGATCACAGATATTGAAAACCCAATGGAGCAGTTATACCCTGCTGGGGTTGAGTTGTTGTTTTTTTCCCCTTCAAATTTTGTCCCTGTGAAATACAGTCTGGTCCTCATAATAGCTCTAGAATATTTCCGTTATCTCTACATTACTAATGTGGAAATAGACGTTCAGAGAGACCAACTAATACACTGTTGGTGGGTGGAAGAATTAGGAGTTTGGTGAACCCACGCCTGTCTCTAAAGGCCACTGGCCTTCCATAGTGCCTTGCCTTTTTCTAGTAGACACTAGCAGAGGAGTCCCCACTCTTCAGCTATGGACCTATATGGCTTAAAACTCACTTTCCCCTCATGATTCCTAATCTTAAACCCAGTCTCTACCTGAGAATGTTAGGAGAATTAGCATAGGTATGTATTAAGGATTTCATAAGGGTGAGATTTTCATTAAATTGACACTTTAATGGGAGGCTTGTAATTGCTTGAGAGAAGGAGATATTTCTACATTCCAAAGTGATGATAAATTATCATATACATTGTAAGATGGTAGCATAATCTGTAAATTAATAGTATAATTCATGCACAATATGAAGTTCAGTAGTTCATAATCCAAAATGTTTCAGTATAATTAAAAATACTTTGTAGAAGTTTCTTTTAAGTTGAAATTTATATTTTCTTTCTATTCTTTTTTCCATTCTTTTTTAAACAGAGAGTAGAATTTGAGTAGTCTTACCTGTTTTCTCAAAGAAAGTTCCAGGCAAATGTCAGGAAAGATTTATTTTGAAAGATTTAGCATTTTAAAGAATGCCAGAGTTCATCTAAAGACTTTTCAGCTGGTATGAGAAACTAGCTATAGAAGCTAAACTCATGACTTTATAGTCAAACCCTCCCATCAGTATTTTGAGTTTTATATAAATGTTTATTCCTCTTCATTCTTAATACTGATTTTGTTTTGTAATACATTTATTGGGGTACAGGTGAATACACTGTTGTTGTTATGTGCTGTCGAGTCGCTTCCAACTCATAGTGACCCCCTATGCACAACAGCTCTAAACCCTGCTCTATCCTGTACCAATCGCACTGCCTCTGACACACCCATCCCGATTACCCCAGTCACTGAATCAATCCACCTCATAGAGCGTCTTCCTTTCCTACGCCGTCCCTCCACCCTCCCAAGCATGATGTCCCTCTCCAAGGACCTGTCTCTCCTTACTACATGTCCAGAGTATGTCAGACGACGCCCCAGACTCCTTGCCTCCAAGGAGCGGCCTGGTTTAACCCTCTCCAGGATGAATCTGTTTGTTTTCTTGGCAGTCCATGGTACATTCAATACTCTTCTCCAGCACCACAGCTCAAAGGCATCAATTCTCCTTACTTGGTGATATTTCAATTTTGTAGTGTTTTTCTTTGGTTTCTAGCATTCTCAAATAGTCATTACCTGTTGGTGGTTAAAGGGAAGAAAGATGGTTCTGTGGTATTGTTCTCTGTGAGGACCATGCTGTCTATGAGCAGTGAACTATGACAGGTTATGTGAGTGAAGGGTGTTTGGGGCATTGTGGAGTATAAAGAAAAACTGGATTAGTTCCTTCTCCTTGTAGAGGTTGGGATGAAATAGATGTCAGAGATATTTTTTCCAGGCAAAGCTGAAATAAAGGTGATGTGAGTAATCAGAACAGTTTGAGTAAATCATGAATTAAATTTGCATCTTTGGAAATGCCAGTTCTGAGTTTCTCTCTGTTCATAACTTTCTTGTTTGCTTGTGAAGCAAGTCTCTGCAATTTCATTTTAAATTCAATTCAGTTTACTATTTTTGAGCATCTTCCTTTATGAGAAATAATGGCACAACCCATACAAGGAAGGTATTTAGCATGAAACAGAGATGGTATGATAGCTAATGCCAAAGTGCTTGCTCACCACTAAATCTTCTGTGTTCATATTAGGAGGAAATGGGATTGGGCTGAATACCATTATTGGGGTTTTTAGAGAGGGTTGTTGTTATTATGTGCCGTTGAGTTGCATGTGACTCACAGCAACCCTATGTACAAGAGTGCTAAACACTGCTCTATCCTGTGCCAACCTGACTGTCTCCGATATACCTACTCCCACTACCCCAATCACTGAATTAATCCATCTCATCGAGGGTCTTCCTTTCCTGCGCTGTCCCTTCACTCTCTCAAACATGATGTCCCTCTCCAAGGACTAGTCTGTCCTTGCAACATGCCCAAAGGATGTCAGACGAAGCTTCAGAATCCTTGACTCCAAGGAGCATCATGGCTTCTCCCTTTCCATGACAAACCTGTTTGTTCTCCTAGCCGCCCATGGTATACTCAGCACTCTTCTTCAGCACCACAGCTCAAAGGCATCAGTTATCTTTCTTTCATCCCTAGTCACTGTCCAGCTCTCCCATGCATAGCATTTAACTGCAAATACTATGGCCCGGATCAGGCGCACCTTAGTCTCCAACCTGATGTCATTGCTTTTCAGTACTCTGACAGCTGACTTTCCCAATGCAGTTCATTACTTCATTTCCTGGCTGAGTGTGACTGTGGAGCCAAACAAACCAAAAGTGTTAACTGTCTCAATCTCTTCACCATCCATAATGATGCTGCCAATTGGCCCCGTGGTGAGAATCTTTGTTTTCTTGATCTTGAGCTTCAATCTATATTGCAGGCTGCAGTCCTTGACCTTCTGCAACAAGTGCTTCAGGTCTTCTTCAGTTTCAGCAAGCAGGGTTGTGTCATCTGCATAACGCAGGTTGTTGATGACTCTTCCACCAATCCTGATGCCACATTCCTCCTCGTACAGCCCAAAGTCCTGGATGATCTGTTCTGCATACAGATTGAAAAGACAGAATCCCTGGCAGTCGACCTTCCCAATTTAGAACCATGCAACGTCTCTTTGCTCTGTTCTGATGACTGGCTCTAGATTCAAGTATAGGTTTCGCATTAGCACAATCAAATGTTCTGGGATTCCCATATTTCTCAGAGTCAGCCATAGCTTGTTGTGATCCACACAGTCAGAAGCCTTTGAGTAGTATAGAGGGAATGGGACTTGATATTCTTATGCAAAAATGCAACAAGCAATGCTAACCTGTTGAGGGGTTGTTGAAATAGAGACTGGACACCACACAGTGGTGGCTGAATGGTTTCTTTTTAATAACTAACTTGGAAATAGTAAGAAGGAGCTGTAATTAACCAGAGGTTTTTAGAAGGCTCTTTAGGAGGTATGTAGTTTATTTTTTTCCCTGGAAGATTGTGGTTTATAGTAGTCAAGAGTCTGTTTTTCTGAAGCTTTGACAGAAATGGGCCACGTTACAGAATCATCTGTGTGGCAGAATTGCAGGTAACAGATTTCTGTTCATTTTCTTTGTATATTGTTTAGAACAGGGAATTCTGGTAGCTTAGTGGTTATGCTGCTAGACGGAGTTATGCCATTAAACCCGAAAGGTAGCACCTCTCTGACGGTTCAAATCCCACGGCATTCTTCTCTCATGCAATTTATAGTCTCTGAAAACCTGCCAGCTAGAAGTCAGTTCTAACTGGATAGCAATGAGATTTTGAAGATCTTTGAGAACTGTGTTATTCCTTTGATAGTGTTTATGTAAATAAGCATTTTGGGTGTTTCAAGAAGCTTTTTAAGAATATACCCTTGTTTGATGGACTAGTGGGTATGAAATTGCACTGTCAACTCATAGGTGGGCAATTCAAATCTACCAAATAACTGCTCATGGGAGAGAGATGGGTAATCTCCACTGTGAGTTAGAGCCTCTGCCAACCTCCTGGATGGAAGGGCAGCTGTGAACTGGTTCCAACTCACTGGCACATAACAACAACCCTTGGTTTTGGTGGTACTGTGTAGAACTGTTTTCAAATTAGCAACTTGAATCTAACTTTGACCTTAACTTAGAGGTGT